TTTGTAATGAGTTGTCTCTTTTTCAAAATACAGAAAGTTTCATTTAAATGTTAAAAAAGTACAGTTGGCATCTTATCTAATTCTGTGGCTTATTAATCTATTAATGTCATTTATTTTGATCACCAAGTTGTTCCAGATTTAACCAGTAGAAAAAAATACATATGGGGAGATAGAGCTGTATGTAGATAATCAGGGGAGATTTTGTCCCTCGGGAGACATTTGGCAGTGCCTGATGACATGTTTGATTTCCACATCCCAGGGTTGGATGTGGAAATCCACGGAGGGATGATGGGAGTGTTTTATTGGCGTCTAATGGGTTGAAGCCAAGAATGCTGCTAAGTGTCCTGTAATATACTCAGAATTATCTGGCCCAAAACGTCAATGGCACCAAGGTAGAGAAACCTTGGTGTGTATAAATAGATGGGGGAATGAGCATGTAAACATGGCACACTGACATCAAGGTGAAGGGTATATGGGAATTTTGTATGGCTTCTGCAACTTTCCTGTAAGTCTAATGTTATTTCAGAATTTTAAAAAGTGTTCAGTGGGTACAGTTGGAGTTTGGGTCTTAATGCCCTAATTAATCTGCATCTTAGAGACAGAAAGTGACTTGTCGTTTGTTGGGAATGTAAGTTGAGCTCAGTCATTGTCCATGATCTCTGGGGCCCCAGTCTTCAGGGCGAGAAGGGAAATTGGCAGAGCTCATGGCCCATGACTGTGTTTGCTTACTCCACCAAGGGAATGCACAACCTTCTTGTTGAGGCCGTATTTAGACAGAGAACTGATGTTTTGCTTCAAGTTCTCTTAGAACCTGGAGTTGGAAGCCATTGATGAAGAACCCACCCCTCTGCACCCAGCCCCTCTGTAGCTGCATTTTGTCCCCAGGCTGCATTATATTGCGCATATATATATATATATATATATATATATCAGCAAATAATTATTTTTGAGTTTTTTTCATGAGTTTGCACCCTGGTTCCTCCAGTAATATTGTGAAGCTCTGTTTGGGTTTGGAGCCCTGCCTTCTACTATGTTTGTATACTGTAGTGACTAAGAAGAATTCAAGCTCTGGAGAACACCACCTGTTCCACCTCTTACTAGTTGCATGAACCTAGTCACATTATGGAGCCTATCTGTGCCTCAGTTTTCTCAACGGTTAAATGGGGAGAAAAATAGCACCACTTAGTTGAGTTTAAATGAATTAATACATGTAAGCTGGTGGAACAATGGCACATATTAAGACTTCAGTAAAAGTTAGTATTCATTCATTCAATTGTATTAGAATTATTTCTCCCCTCCCCACAAGGGTTCCCTGTCCTCTGTGTTAGGAAGATATAACTGATATGTCCCAGCCATCCAGATGCCTCCTACAGCCTGACTCTGTTTCTTGCCATTTCTGTTTCTTTGACTCAACTCAAATAGTTATTGGGAATCTCCATGTTCTGTGGCAGGCACAGTAATTGGGACTTTTTAATCTTTTATGTCTCTGTTCTTTTCCCATCCCATCCTGTTCTATCCAACTCTCTTCTTCCACCCACTGGGTATTTCCAACAAGCCATACCCTCTACTAAAGGCTTTTTATTATTTCATTTGTTTTTCATAAGAGCCCAGTGTGAGATAGAGGACATTATTCTCATTTTACAATGAAGGAAAATGACATTTGGAGAGGTTAACCAACTTGACTGAGGCCACAGAATTAAGAAGTAGTATGCTTTTTCTTCTACTTTCCCAATAAGGATGTACTTTGAGTGGGGAGAACCCTGCTGTCCAACTAGGGTTAGACTATGATTTAAAGAGTCAATGCCATTCTTCTGTTTCACTTCCTTGCAAATCACTGAGTCTGGAAGAGACCTGCACAGGTGAGCATTTAGCATTTGCCATGCTCCCAGGGCCATGCTAGGTGCTGGAGACATAAATACATGAAACACTTGGTCAATGATCTCAGTTTATTTAGGGTCTCAGTTATCTTTTACTGAGTAATGAAACGCTCCAAAACTTAATGGCTTAAAACAGTGATTTATTGTCTCTCATGATTCTCTAGGTAGGTTGCTTGGACCCACTAGACAGTTCTTCTGTTCCATGTGATGTTGTTTAAAGTCACTTATGTGGCTGCATTTAGCTGGGAGCTTGGCTTGGGGGGTCCAAGATGGCCTCACGCATATGTCTGACAATTGATGCTGGCTGTTGGTTGGGGGCCTCTGTTTCCCTCCACATGGCCTCTCATGCTGCAGGACGTCTCACCATGGTGTCTCTCCAGTAGAAAAGCCTGGACTTCTTCACATGGTTGTTGGCTTCCAAGATAATAAAAATGGAAGCTACATGGCTTCTTAAGGCCTAGTAATAAAAGCCACAGAACGTCACTTCTGCCACATTCTGAGGCCCAGAGCAAGTCACAGGGCCAGCTTAAGGGATGGGGAAAGAGAGTCTAACTTTTGATGTGAGGCATGGCATAGGAACAAAGGGATGGGAAGGATTGTTGTAGCCATATTGGAAAACAATCCACACAGTCACTGTCCATCTAATTCTTTGCTGATGAGCTGGGTTTTAGAGCTGGAAGGCCCCTTAACCATCAGCCGATTCAACCCCCTACTTTCACAGATGCAGAAATTAAGACCTAGGAAATCAAGCCACTTGGACCAGGCCAGCACACTTAGTGGAGGAGCAAGCGGGGCTTGCCAGGTTGGTGTCGTCAGCTGTGTGTGCCAATCTGTGCTTTGCTTTTCCTCCAACAGAGGATGTCTCTGCTGGGTTCCTCTTTGAATCAAGGCTGTCCCTGCTAAGTTTGGAGACTACAGGGGGTGTAGAAGAAGGAAGGGATCTGTTTTTTCCTCTTCTGAATCTCCCTCCCTCCCTATTCCTGGGCTGGACACCAGGGTCTTTAGTTAGTGCTTTGACCTCATTGACCAGCATTGACCAGACATACCTTCTTCATCATTGCCTCTTCTATACATCGGAACATGAAATGATGCTGGGTTTCACCACATGCATAAAAAGTGGCTGCCCAAACCCTACCAGATGTTATATTATGAAACAACACATTTATGTAATGTGTTATTATACCACAGTGCATTTTTCTAAAATTCACAATTATTTCAGTATGAAATGTGTTGCTTGTTTTGAAATGGAGCAGGTGAGACACAAATTATTGATTTCCCTCAGTGTACCCACAAACCTGAAAATAATTAAGTGGTTCCATTTTCTCGGATCATTATGATGCTACTGTGGATATTTCCAGCCTCCTGGATAGAGGACGGGTATTTATTTTGTAATAAAGACAATATTTGTTGCCAAATATAGTTGTGGGATTCCCCCAGCTCTCATGAGGGTATCTGATTCTTATTGAAGGTTAAGGTAAATAAAAAGTGCAATTCTTAGATTTATGACCCCTTGAATACCATACATTTCCAAAGAAGAACTGGTAGAGACACTCCCTAGGAAAAAAATATTCATTTGATTTTTGATACATTGAATAGATTATAGATTGAATAAAACCCTTTTCCCCATTCTAAGTAGCATTTACTGTTTTGTAAATTAAATAAGTAATATTTGTTTATTATAGAAAATTTAGAAAAGACATAAGTACACAAAGGAGAAAATAAAGATCATCCATAATCTTACCTTATAGTCAAAACCACTATTAACATTTTCATTGTATGTTCTTCCCATCAGAGAGATAGAGGAATAGATCTATAGATTGATAGAGATGGAAAGAGTGAGATATAGCTATACATATAGATATAGGTATTTTTCTCTTAAAAAATTGGATCATACTACACCAAGATAAAAAGCTTTTGCACAGTGAAAGAAACCATTGACAAAACAAAAAGGCAGTCTGCTGAACAGGAGAAGATCTTTGCAGATATATCTGAGAAGGGGTTAATATCCAAAATATATAAAGAAATTATACAACTCAATACCAAAAAACCCAAACAATCCAATTAAAAAATGGGCAGAGGATTGGAGAGACAGTTTTCCAAAAGAGACATACAATGGCCAACGTGAAAAGATGCTCAATATCACTAATCACCAGAGAAATGCAGATCAAAACCACAATGAGATATTACTTTATACCTGTCAGAACAGCTAAAATAAAAAACACAAGAAATAACAAATATTGGTGAGGATATGGAGAAAAAAGAATCCTCATGCACTGTTGGTGGGAATGCAAATTGGTACAACCACTGTGAAAACAGTATGGAGGTTCCTCAAAAAATTGGAAACAGAATTACCATAAGATTCAGTAATTCCACTACTGGGTATTTACCCAAAGAAAACAAAAACATTGAAAAGATATATGCACCCTTATGCTTATTGCAGCATTGCTTACAATAGCCAAGATATGGAAGCAGCCCAAATGTCCATCAATAGATAGATGGATAAAGAAGATGTGGTGTATATATATATATATATATATATATATATATATATATATATACACTATAGAATAGAATATATATAATAGAATATATATATATATAATAGAATATTACTCAGCCATGAAAAAGAAGGAAATCTTGCCATTTGCAACAACATGGATGGCCCTAGAGGATATTATGCTAACTGAGAAAAAGATAAAGTCATAAAAAGACAAATACCACATGATTTCACTCATATGTGGAATTTAAGAAACAAAACAAATGACCAAACAGAAAAAAAAGACAAAAAACTGCTCTTAAGTACAGAAAACACACTGGTGGTTGTCAGAGGGGAGGTAGGTGGGGGGGTGGATGAAATAGGTGATGGGGATTAAGATTACACTTACCTTGATGAGCACTGAGTCATGTATGGAAATGTTGAATCATTATTAGTACACCTGAGACTAATATAACACAGTATGTTAATTATACTTCAATTGCAAAAAAATTTTTAATGGGATCTTACTGTCAAATAATTTTGCCACCAGATTTTTTTGTTTTGTTTTGCCTAAATGTGGCAAGACATTTTTTGTCAATAAATATTCTTCTGTCATACATGGAAGTAAATCCCTCTTGTTTTGACAGGACAGTGATATTGAAGCACTGGTCGGGTGTTTGGAAAATGTCCTGGGTTGCACCTCTCTAGGTAAGTTGCTTCAGATTCCCAAATGTAGTGCTACCTGCTGATTCTAATGGAATATCTGAGGATTAGAAAGCTTGGAAGGAATCTTTTTTTTTTTTTAAGATTTTATTTATTTATTTGACAGAGGGAGCATAAGCAGGGGGAGCAGCAGAGGGAGAAGGAGAAGCAGGCTCCCTGCTGAGCAGGGAGCCCAATGTGGGACTCGATTCCAGGACCCTGGAATCATGACCTGAGCTGAAGGCAGACGCTTAACCGACTGAGCCACCCAGGCACCCCACTTGGAAGGAATCTTACAGATATTTCAGTCTAACCTCTTCATTTTATACAGGAGGAAACTGAGGCCAACAGAAGTTAGAAGTCTGGCCCAGGGCCAGGCAACTCAAAATTTATTACTGTAAGTGACTGGCAGTCTCCAAGGATGAAATGGTTGGAATTCAGTGGTCTGTTGTGATCAAATGGTGGCCTGGCAGCGCATAATAGTAGACTTTCCAGGTTCCCCGGAAGAGGAATCTCCTATCTCACTCTTCTGTAGAAACAGATCGCATTCAGTCAAGTTGCAAGGACCATCACTCTGAAGGTCAGCCAGTCCCTGGAAGCGATTTAGTCTGAAAAACAAAGCTGAAATTTCTTTAGCATTGTCCGTCTCAATAAATGGGACAGCTGTGCTTTTACTATTTCTTAGTTTCTCCTTCTTTTTCTTCAATCTGAAAAAGTCCAACTGTGGAAACTTCTAGCAGTAGACAATAAATTGTCACACCTGACATGGGTAGAAGGACAGAGGATATACAGGCTGAGATTTTTTTCTTTGAAATTCAACTTCGGGTTTTTAAAGTTTTTAACTGCATGACCAAAAGCAATCTCCTCACAGGGAATGGCAGGAATAAAGATCAAGTGCTCAAGTGTGCAAACATTCACCACTATTTTATTAGGAGCTTTATGCACAGTTTATATCCTTTTTGTTGCTTATTCCACGTCTCTGTGTATGAAACCTCGGTCATAAACATAGTTCCTGGGTTTTTTCTCCTGATCATCACCCTACAATCTGTTCCACTGCACATCAGTAACACTTACTGGGTACATTTAACTCCCAAGTATGGATTTGAAGACCAGGAAGGCTTTCCTTTGGCCAAGTCATTTTTCTTCTCCAGACTTTGGATTAGATCAGTAAGATTCAGACTGGGTTCCTTGGGGACCTCCAGGAGCCGACAAGGCTCTGAGCAGCTAGAGAACAGAAACCCATGTCTACACAGCTCATCTGTGCTTCTCCAGAGTCTGACACAGTGTCTGGTGCAGAGGAGGCCCTTAACAGATATTTTTAAATATTTTTAAGAGAAATGAGATGCACACCCTGCTCCTTTACCAGCTTCAACCAAAATAGTTTCACTCTTTTATCTGTTTTATAAATTAGACTTATACATAGGGCTGTGTCTTGAAAAAGATAGATTCCACTGCAAAAAAAGAAACTAACACTGGATCGGAGAGATGATATCTAAATTCCCTTTTAGACTGTATGCTTTTATAAAAATGAGCAATAGAAACATGGAATAAAAAAATGCATTTATCTCTGCCTGGAGCTCCCCTCAAATGACAGAAAGGGGACAAAGCTGTATAAACTTACAGGACAAAGGGAACAGAAGAGATGGGAGCAGGTGGGAGCTGTTAGCTCATTTGAGAAGCTAGGAAGCAGATGGATGCGTGGTGAGCAATTTAGAAGACGGACAAGGTGAAAGCTACATGCCTAAGATGTGTTCAGGTAAGGAGAGCAGCTAAGGGGCAGGCTAGCAGACTCTGAGATGGCGGGGCTCGTGCTTTCGAAATATCTGTCTGGGGAGGTACTCACAGTGGGACCCTCATCCCAGATGAGAATATTAATCTCAGAACTCCGGGCTTCCAGCATTACACAGAAGCCATGAAGAAATCTCCTTGTGCAGTGTTATAGGGATGAGACCGCTCGGGGGCTAGTACCTGTTTTGCTCTAACTACATTTTGGGGGGAGATTCACAGATACCGGAATCACTGTGGCATTAATATATGTCAGAACATTAACAGGATCCGAGGGACAATGTAAACTAAAATGTGTCAGAGTATAAGCCTTGTAACTTAGAAATGAAACCTCTGTGGATTGAGTGAGGCTTTACTTACATTCAGCATCAGCCTATGCACTTTGGAAATGTCCGATTGCTTATGGAGCAGTTAAGCTGTTAAGTATCTCCCACAAATATTTTCAAGAGCTTCTCTGAACCCTCAACAAGAGAGGAAAAACAACAGGTGCAAATGTCCTTTCTGGTTATTCAGACCGCACAAATTTTAACTTTGCAGCCCTGAAAACGTTGTGTGCCGTGGTTTGACCCCAACCCAACCCCAGATTTAGTTTTATTTCTATTTAAAACAGGGGTGGTGATATTTTCCCTGCCTGTATCAATAGGGAGTAGAGAGAATGAATGAGTTAGCATTTGTGTAGCTTCAAGAGATCCTGAATTCAAAGGGACCCTTTTGAATTGCAAGTTGAGTATATTAGTTTCCTCTATACATCCAGGTCATTTTTTTTTTTAAAGATTTTATTCATTCATTTGACACAGAGAGAGACAGCAAGAGAGGGAACACAAGTAGGGGGAGTGGGAGAGGGAGAACCAGGCCTCCCGCCAAGCAGGGAGCCCGATGCGGGGCTCGATCCCAGGACCCTGGCACCATGACCTGAGCCGAAGGCAGACGCTTAACGACTGAGCCACCCAGGAGCCCCCATCCAGGTCATTTTAAAGCCTTTAGATCAGTGGTTCTCCCACTTGAACATGCATCAGAATCACTTAGAGGGCTTATAAAAATGCAGGTCTGGTGCGTGGCCAACAATTTGTATTTCTAACAAGTTCCTAAGCAGTGCTGATGTTTCAGGTCTAGGCCACATTTTGAGAACCATAGCTTTAAAGTCCTTAAGCCCTGAAATTCTTACTGTGCGCCCCACACCAATTTATAGTCCAAACAAAATATTGCTAAAGTATAAAATAAAAATTTTATTTATTAAAATTATAATTTACCTCTAAGCTAAACTGAAAATAGCTCCTTTCTACACTTTTCCCCCTTTATGTGATGCTGTCTGTGTGCTGGGCTATTTGGCACCGTATACAGGAGTTACTGAGCTTCCCTGGAAGCAATATTGTATTTTTGCCTCATCCTCAGCATCTGCATCAGACATTTAGGGAGGTCTGGTGGGCTCAAGGCACTGTATGAGGTTTCAGATGTTGAGACATATTTGGAACATGGTCTCAATCACCAGGTAGGGTCCCGGACAAACCAGGCACAGTTTTGTAACAATACCAGAGAGCACCACTAGGTGCTTCTTTCACACATAGAGTTTGTTGTCCCAAATGGAGGCACCTCATTTCTGAAGCCCTAAATCCCCCCTGAAATTTCCCATGGCATATAAGACACAAGGCCAGTCATGAACAGGATGTTGAGTGATCCCAGGTGGAATTAAGAGAGGGAGGGAGAGAAGAAATTAAAAAGAGAGCAGAAAAGGCCAGAAATCAGGGCCTGGGGGAAATAGCCAAGAATGTAGGCCATTTCACCAAGGGCAGATACATTAAAACATGAAATTTCCATGGTTTAAATGTGTATCCTGCCTTTCTCCCCCTCCCCCGTTCCTTTCTTCCCTACAAATGTTTATGAAGCATGTACAATAAGCCAGATATTACAGAAAATGACGTCCCTGTCTTAATGAGCTCCCAGTGTAGTCAGGGAGGCTGATAATTAGAGGGCACTGTGATGAGGACTATACATACTGTGAACAAGGAAAGTGGAAGACAAGGGTCCACTATGGGGATGCAGCTTGGGGAGGACTTCACAGAGGGTGAGGTTTGTAATTTCTTGTGTCAGTGAGGGCAGTACAAGATCTTTTTTTTTTTTTTTTTTAAGATTTACTTATTTGTTTTAGAGCGAGTGAGCGAGAGAGAGAGAATGGGAGGAGGGGCAGAGGGAGAGAGAGAATCTCAAGCAGACTCCTCGCTGAGCTCAGAGCCCAGCTTGGGGCTTGATCCCAGCACCCTGAGATCATGACCTGAGCCGAAATCAAGAGTCAGAAGCTTAACTGACTGAGCCACCCAGGCACCCCAGGGCAGTACAAGATCTTATTCACTGTAGTATTCTCAGAGTCTAACATACAGCCTGGCACACAGTATTTTTTCAATAATCATTTGATGAATGAGTAGAAAGATGAATAGAGTTGACAAGGGGTTGGAGGGGGGTTGTATTCTTTAGAAAGGATCAAACAGCATGAAAGCTCAGAGGTAGGAAACAACTGGGTATATTCATGGAACTATCAAGAAGTTTGGTATTGCTGGAATAAGGTGTGAGAAAGGGATCAGCAAACCTGGCTATGTAGGGCTAAACCCATGAATAATCTTGTATGCCAGGTTAAAGAGCTTGAATTTTATCCTGTGGATTAGGATACCACTGGTTTTTAAGCATGGTCAGAAAAGATTACCTTTAACAAACGATAAGGAGGTAGCTTTGAAAGGAGTGACTTAAGATGGGGAACTGGTTATGGGCTCTCATTACACAGACAATAGGTAGTATTACTATAATAACTGTTCAGGCCCATCACTATTCAGTAAGGACAGAAGATGCCCTCTCACTTCCTTTTCTTTGAACTTAGAAAAGAAAATTCTGTCTCCATATTTCATAGTGACCAGATTATGAATCAAGGCAACATATGAAATTTAACATTTTTAAATGTTTATGAAATTGGCTGTACTTCTAGAGAGAGAAGTCATCAGCAGAATGATATGAGTCCTTGGCAAACTATACTTCTTTTTTTTTTAAGATTTTATTTATTTAACAGAGAGAGACACAGTGAGAGAGGGAACACAAGCAGGGGGAGTGGGAAAGGGAGAAGCAGGCTTCCTGATGCGGGGCTCAATCCCAGGACCCTGGGATCATGACCTGAGCCGAAGGCAGACGCTTAACGACTGAGCCACCCAGGCGCCCCGGCAAACTATACTTTTATAAGA